GTCACTTGTGGTCACTGCTGGTCACTGATGGTGCCTGGTGGTCACTCGTGGTCACTCGTGGTCACTTGTGGTCACTGCTGGTCACTGCTGGTGCCTGGTGGTCACTCATGGTCACTTGTGGTCACTGCTGGTCACTGATGGTGCCTGGTGGTCACTCGTGGTCACTCGTGGTCACTCGTGGTCACTGCTGGTCACTGATGGTGCCTGGTGGTCACTCCTGGTCACTCGTGGTCACTCGTGGTCACTGTTGGTCACTGATGGTGCCTGGTGGTCACTCGTGGTCACTCGTGGTCACTCGTGGTCACTGCTGGTCACTGATGGTGCCTGGTGGTCACTCCTGGTCACTCGTGGTCACTCGTGGTCACTGCTGGTCACTGCTGGTGCCTGGTGGTCACTCATGGTGACTTGTGGTCACTCGTGGTCACTCGTGGTCGCTCTTCTCCGCAGGCCACAACGCCGATGACGTGGCCGAGACGGTGCTGATGAACTTCCTGCGCGGGGACGTGGCGCGGCTGCGGCGCGCGGCCAACGAGGCCACCCTGGCCACCAACCTCACCATGGCCACCACCGATGTCACCAACGAGGCCACCATGGCCACCACCAAGGCCACCGATGAGGCCACCCTGGCCACCAACCTCACCATGGCCACCAACCTCACCATGGCCACCAACCTCACCATGGCCACCAAGGACATCACCAACGAGGCCACCCTGGCCACCAACCTCACCATGGCCACCACCAAGGCCACCAGTGAGGCCACCATGACCACCAACCTTACCATGGCCACCAAGGACATCACCAACGAGGCCACCCTGGCCACCAACCTCACCATAGCCACCACCAACGTCACCGGTGAGGCCACCATGGCCACCAACCTCACCATGGCCACCAAGGACATCACCAACGAGGCCACCCTGGCCACCAACCTGACCATGGCCACCACCAAGGCCACCGATGAGGCCACCATGGCCACCAACCTGACCATGGCCACCAACCTCACCATGGCCTCCAATGTCACCAACGAGGCCACCATGACCACCAACCGGACCGTGGCCACCAGTGAGATCTTAGAAGCCACCAATGAGGTCACCGCAGTCAATGAGGCTGTTGTGGCCACCAACGAGGTCACTGTGGCCACCAACAGGACCACGGCCACCAATGAGGTCTCAGGGGCCACCAACGAGAACCCGACAAAACCCAATGAGAACCCAACGGAACCCAACAAGAACCCACCAAAGCCCAACGAGGAACCAACAGAGCTCAACCAGAACTCAACGAAACTCAATGAGAACCAAACGGATCTCGACGAGAACCCGACAAAACCCGACGAGAACTCAATGGAACCCAACGAGAACCCAACAAAACTCAATGAGGACGCGATGGAACCCAACAAGAACTCGGTGAAACCCAACGAGGACCCAACGGAACTCAACGAGAATTCAATGAAACCCAACAAGAACTCAATGGAACTCAATGAGAACTCAGTGAAACTCAATGAGAAATCAATGGAACCCAACAAGAACTCAACGGAACTCGATGAGAACTCAATGAAACTCAATGAGAAGTCAATGGAACCCAACGAGAACCCAACAAAAGTCAATGAGAACCCAACGGAACCCAACGAGAGCCCAACAAAACCCAATGAAAACTCGATGAAACTCAATGAGATCTCAACAAAACTCAACGAGAACTCAATGAAACTCGACGAGAACCCAATGGAACCCAACAAGAACTCAATGAAACCCAGCAAGAACCCCACGAAATCCAATGAAAACTCAATGAAATTCAATGAGCTCTCAACAAAACTCAACGAGAACCCAAAAGAACCCAACAAGAACTCAAAGAAACTCAACACGAACTCAACGAAACCCAACAAGAACCCAACGAAACCCAACAAAACCTCAGCGAAACCCGACGAGAACCCGACCCAGCCCTGGCCCACGGTGCCGCGGCTGAAGCCGCTGCGGCACGCGTCGCAGAAGGAGATCGTGCTCTACGCGCACTTCCTGGGGCTGCCCTACGCCAGCGCCGAGTGCCGGCACGCGCCGCTGGCGTTCCGCGGGCACCCGCGGGCGCTGCTGAAGGAGCTGGAGGCGGCGCGGCCGGCGGCGGCGGCGGCGCTGGCGCACTCGGGGCGGCGGCTGGCGCTGGGCGCGGCGCCGGGCGCGGGGGCGGCGCCGGGGGCGTGCGGGCGCTGCGGGGCCGCGGCCAGCGCCGCGCTGTGCATGGCCTGCACCCTGCTGGGCGCGCTGGACCGGGGCCGGCCCCGGCTGGCGCTGGGCAAGAGGGGGGTCCGGGTGGCCGGGCAGGGGGGCGGTGGGCGCCAGGATGGGGTTGGTGGGCATCAAGGTGATGGGCAAGGGGTTGGTGGGCACCAGGGTGGGGTTGGTGGTCTTTGGGGTGGAGGTCAAGGAGGTTGTGGGTGTAGGAATGGTGGGCAGTGGGGTGGGCGTGGTGGGCAGTGGGGTGGTGGCGGTCAAGGGGTCAGTGGCCACGAGGATGAGGTTGGTGGTCACCAGGATGGAGTTGGTGGTCATCATGATGGGCTTGGTGGTCATTGGGGTGGTGGTCAAGGGCTCGGTGGTCACCATGATGGATGTGGTGGGCATCAGGATGGGCAGGGTGGTCTTTGGGGTAGCGGTCATCGGGGTGGTGGTCAAGGGGTTGGTGGCCATCAAGGTGATGGGCAAGGGGTTGGTGGGCACCAGGATGGGGTTGGTGGTCTTTGGGATGGAGGTCAAGGAGGTTGTGGGTGTAGGAATGGTGGGCACCAGGATGGACGTGGTGGGCATCAGGATGGGCTTGGTGGCCATTGGAGTGGTGGTCACCAAGATGGACGTGGTGGCCACCAAGATTGTGGTCAGTGGGTTGGTGGTCACCAGGATGGGCTTGGTGGTCAAGGGGGTTGTGGGTGCAGGAATGGCGGGCACCAGGATGGGGTTGGTGGTCATTGGACTGGTGATCAAGGGGTTGGTGGCCACCAGGGTGGACACGGTGGTCAAGGGGTCAGCGGTCATCAGGATGGAGATGGCGGTCATCAAGATTGTGGTCAAGGAGTCAGTGGTCATTGGGGTGGTGGTCAAGGGGCTGGTGGTCACCCAAGCATGGACGTTGAGAGTTGTGGTCAAGGGGTTGGCGGTCATCAGGATGGAGATGGTGATGGACATGGTGGGCAGTGGGGTGGTGGTCAAGGGGGTTGTGGCTGTAGGATTGGTGGCCACCAGGATGGAGTTGGTGGTCACCAGAGCAAGGACATTGAGGGTGGTGGTCAAGGGGTCAGTGGTCATCAGGATGGACGTGGTGGTCATTGGACTGGTGATCAAGGGGTTGGTGGTCACCAGGATGGACATAGTGGTCACTCAGATGTCCCCGTTGGTCACTCAGATGTCCCCGTTGGTCACTCAGATGTCCATGGTGGTCACTCAGATGTCCCCGTTGGTCACTCAGATGTCCCCGTTGGTCACTCAGATGTCCCTGTTGGTCACTCTGGCCACTCGCGGTCGGTGTCCAGCCCGGTGTCCGTGCTGCTCCAGGGCCGGGCTGTCCCTGGTGACCATGGTGGTCACTCAGATGTCCATGGTGGTCACTGTGGTCACTGTGGTCACCCTGGTGGTCACTCTGGTGGTCACTCGCGGTCGGTGTCCGGCCCGGTGTCCGTGCTGCTCCAGGGCCGGGCCGGGCTCTCGCAGCGGCGCCGCCTCAGCGCCTTCGGCCACGGCCGGAGGGACCCGGGGGGGACACGGGCGGGGCTGGGGGACATCTGGGACTTCTGAGGGGACACTGAGGGGACATTGGGGACATTGGGGACACTGAGGGGACATCTGGGACTTCTGAGGGGACACTGAGGGGACATCTGGGACTTCTGAGGGGACATTGGGGACACTGAGGGGACATCTGGGACTTCTGAGGGGACACTGAGGGGACATTGGGGACATTGGGGACACTGAGGGGACATCTGGGACTTCTGAGGGGACACTGAGGGGACATTGGGGACACTGAGGGGACATCTGGGACTTCTGAGGGGACACTGAGGGGACATTGGGGACACCTGAGACACACCTGGGGACATTGGGGACATCTGGGGGGACATTGGGGACACTGAGGGGACATCTGGGACTTCTGAGGGGACATTGGGGACACCTGAGACACACCTGGGGACATTGGGGACATCTGGGACTTCTGAGGGGACACTGAGGGGACATCTGGGACTTCTGAGGGGACACCGGGGACAGTGGGGACAGCTGGGACTTCTGAGGGGACACTGAGGGGACATTGGGGACACTGAGGAGACTTCTGAGGGGACATCTGGGACTTCTGAGGGGACACTGAGGGGACATCTGGGACTTCTGAGGGGACATTGGGGACATTGGGGACACTGAGGGGACATCTGGGAGTTCTGAGGGGACACACGGGGACAGTTTTGGTGTCCCTTGGGGACATTTTTGGGTCCCTGGGATGGTTTTTAGGACATTTGAGGGCTCTTGGGGACATTTTTGAGGGGTTTTGGGATTTTTTTGGGGACATTTTTGGTGGTTTTGGGACATTTTTCTGGGGACGTTTTGGGTTCCCGGGGATGGCGAAGGGGGCGTGGCCAGCGGGGTTTATGCAAATGAGCCGCTGCTTTGGGTGGGGGGTGTCTGTACAAACCAATAAAACGAAATGAATCCTTTAATTATGCAAATGAGGCTCATTTGTCAGCGGGGGCTCATTAACCAACCGGGGAGGGGCGAGTAATTATGCAAATTAAGGGAGTATTTACGGAAATTAACATGGCGGTTATGGAAATGAGGGGCGGCGAACGCGGAAGCGCGGCCGGGGCTATGCAAATGAGCGACATGCAAATGAGGTTCATGCAAATGAATCTGTGGGGGGGATAAGAGGCGTGGCTGAGTGTCCGTATATGGACAGAGCGGCGCTCCGCGGGCCAATCAGCGCGCGGGATGCAAATGAGGCGACGGGAAAGGGGGTGTGACGTCACTTCCGTCGCGCGCTGGGTGACGTCAGGGCAGCGATGATGGCGGCGCCGCGGGTGTCGCTGGGGGCGCTGAAGGAGCCGCTGGGGCTGAGCCGGGGCCTGCAGTGGGTGAGGGACGGGATGGGGGAACTGGGATGGACTGGGATATACTGGGAGGGACTGGGATGGACCGGGAGGGACTGGTTTGTACTGGGATCAAACTGGGATATACTGGGAGGGGATTGGGGGGGACTGGGAACGGAGCTGGGGGAACTGGTATATACTGGGATGCACTGGTTTATACTGGGAGGGGATTGGGAGGGACTGGTTTGTACTGGGATATACTGGGATATACTGGGAGGGAATTGGGATCAAACTGGGAGGGACTGGGATGGACTGGGAGAGGGGCTGAGGGGGACCGGGCTATACTGGTTTATACTGGGATATACTGGGAGGCACTGGGATGGACTGGGATCAAACTGGGATGGAGTGGGAGAGGACTGGGAGGGGGTTGGGATATACTGGGAGGGACTGGGATCAAACTGGGATATACTGGGAGGGACTGGGAAGGATTAGGGGGGACTGGGAGGGACTGGGAACGGAACTGGGGTATACTGGGATATACTGGTTTATACTGGGAGGGACTGGGAGGGGATTGGGGGGACTGGTTTGTACTGGGATAAGCTGGGAGGGGTTTGGGATCAAACTGGGATGGACTGATTTGTACTGGGAGGGGACTGGGAGGGGATTGGGGGGGACGGGGATAAACTGGGATGGACTGGGAGGGTTATAAAGGGTTGCTGGTTTATACTGGGATATACTGGGAGGCACTGGGAGGGACTGGGATGGACTGGGAGGGGATTGGGGGAACTGAGAGAGGGACTGAGGGGGACTGGGATATACTGGTTTATACTGGGAGGGGATTGGGGGGGACTGGGGGGGGTTTGGGGTTACTGGTTTATACTGGGATGTACTGGGAGGGGTTTGTGGGGGATTGGGATATACTGGGATATACTGGGAAGGACTGGGAGGGAGTTTGGGGTTACTGGTTTATACTGGGAGGGACTGGGATATACTGGGATAAACTGGGAGCGGTTTGGGGTTACTGGTTTATACTGGTTTGTACTGGGAGGGGATTGGGGGGGACTGGAAGTGGAACTGGGATATACTGGGAGGGACTGGGAGGGGTTAAACACGGGGTTACTGGGTTATACTGGGAGCACTGGGAGGGACTGGAAGGGGTTTGGGGTTACTGGTTTGTACTGGTTTGTACTGGGAGGGAACTGGGAGCGCAAATGGAGGAACTGGGACGGACTGGGAGCGACTGAAATTTTGACCTAAAAAAAATCTGAAATTTTCCTGAAATTTCCCCAAAGTTTCCCCGTTTTCATTCAAATCTTGGGCTCAGAAATCCCAGATTTTCCCCCTCAAATTTCCACTTTTTTATTAAATCTTGACCTCAAAAACCCCAATTTTTCCTCAAATCTTCGCCTCAAAAATCCCAAACTTTCCTCAAATTTTCCGATTTTTCACCAAATTTTGAGCCTTAAAATCCCGAATTTCCCCAATATTTCCCCAAAATTTCCCCATTTTTACCAAAATTTTGACCTCAAAACCCCCAAATTTTCCCAAGTTCCTTGTTTTTCCCGTTTTTTAAAATTTTCTCCAAAATTCTTAATTTTTTAATTAATTTTTCCCAAATTTCCTCATTTTTTCTGTGTTTTTTTCAATTTTTTCCCGAAATTCTTAATTTTTTAATTAATTTTCCTCAAATTTCCTATTTTTTCTGGGTTTTTTTAATTTTTCCCCAAAATTCTCAATTTTTCATATTAATTTTTCCCAAATTCCCTCATTTTTTCTGTGTTTTTTTAATTTTCTCCCAAAATTCTTAATTTTTTAATTAATTTTCCTCAAATTTCCTATTTTTTCTGGTTTTTTTTAATTTTTCCCCAAAATTCTCAATTTTTTAAATTAATTTTCCCCAAATTCCCCATTTTTTGCCTGTTTTATTTTTTTTAATTTTCCCCAAATTCCCCATTTTTCCCATGTTTTTATTTTATTTTTCCCCAAAATTCCTAATTTTTATTTAATTTTCCCCAAATTCCTCGTTTTTCCCGTTTTTTTTTTTTAATTTTCCCCAAAATTCTCAATTTTTTTACTAATTTTCCCCAAAATCGCCGTTTTTCCCCCCAGTTTTTCTCCATCTTCGCCTTCGCCACCTGCGGCGGCTTCGAGGGCTCCGTCACCTTCACGGTCACCTGCGCAGGGGGGGACAACGGGACCCAGGTGACAAACGTGACGGCCACCTACGGGTACCCCTTCAGGTGAGTCAGGGACACACCTGGGGACACACCTGGACAGGTGACACACCTGGGGACACCTAGGGACACACCTGGGACACTTCTAGGGACACTTCAGATACACTTGGGGACACCTGGGACACACCTGGACAGGTGACACAGGTGAGATGGGTGGGACAGATGAGGGACACACCTGGGACACACCTGGGGACACACCTGGGGACACCTGGACAGGTGAGGGACACACCTGGGGACACCTGGGACACACCTGGGGACACACCTGGACAGGTGACACAGGTGAGGGACACACCTGGGACACACCTGGGACACACCTGGGGACACCTGGGGACACCTGGACAGGTGAGGGACACACCTGGGGACACCTGGGGCACACCTGGGGACACCTGGGGACACCTGGACAGATCAAGGACACACCTGGGGACACCTCAGATACACCTGGACAGGTGAGTGACACACCTGGAGACACCTGGGGACACACCTGGACAGGTGACACAGGTGAGATGGGTGGGACAGGTGAGGGACACACCTGGGACACACCTGGGGACACCTGGGGACACCTGGGACACACCTGGGGACACCTGGACAGGTGAGTGACACACCTGGGGACACCTGGGACACACCTGGGACACACCTGGGACACACCTGGGGACACCTCAGATACACCTGGACAGGTGAGTGACGCACCTGGAGACACCTGGGGAGACACCTGGACAGGTGACACAGGTGAGATGGGTGGGACAGGTGAGGGACACACCTGGGGACACGCCTGGGACAGGTCAGGGTCACCTTCATGGTCACCTGCCCAGGTGGGGACAACGGGACACAGGTGACAAACGTGACGAGCACCTACGGGTACCCCTTCAGGTGAGTCAGGGACACACCTGGGACACACCTGGACAGGTGACACAGGTGAGATGGGTGGGACAGGTGAGGGACACACCTGGGGACACACCTGGGGACACCTGGGGCACACCTGGACAGGTGAGATGGCTGGGACACACATGGGGACACCTCAGATACACCTGGGGACACACCTGGGACACACCTGGACAGGTGAGGGACACACCTGGGGACACTTGAGAGACACCTGGGACACACCTGGACAGGTGACACAGGGGAGGGACACCTGGGGACAGATCTAGGGACACCTGGACAGGTGAGGGACACACCTGAGATAGGTGAGATGGGTGAGGGACACACCTGGGACACACCTGGGACACGTGTGATGGATGGGACAGGTGAGGGACACACCTGGGGACACCTGGAGACACCTGAGATACACCTGGACAGGTGAGGGACACACCTGGGACACACCTGGGGACACCTGGGACACACCTGGACAGGTGACACAGGTGAGGGACACACCTGGGGACAGATCTAGGGACACCTGGACAGGTGAGGGACACACCTGAGATAGGTGAGACACACCTGGGACGGGTGAGATGGGTGAGGGACACACCTGGGACACACCTGGGGACACCTGGACAGATCAGGGACACACCTGGGACACCTCAGATACACCGGGACAGGTGAGTGACACACCTGGGACACACCTGGGACAGGTGAGATGGGTGAGGGACACACCTGGGACAAACCTGGGGACACACCTGGACAGGTGAGATGGGTGGGACAGGTGAGGGACACACCTGGGACACACCTGGGGACACCTCAGATACACCTGGACAGGTGAGTGACACACCTGGGACATACTTGGACAGGTGACACAGGTGAGGGACACTTAAGGACACCCGGACAGATTAGGGACACACCTGGGGACACCTGAGATACACCTGGACAGGTGACACAGGTGAGGGACACACCTGGACAGGTGAGGAACGCACCTGGGGACAGCTGGGACAGGTGAGATGGGTGAGGGACACACCTGGGACACACCTGGGGACACCTGGGACACACCTGGGACACACCTGGGGCGGTGAGATGGGCGAGGGACACACCTGGGCCAGGTGACAATGGAAGGTGCAGCAGGTCCCAGGTGACTCCAGGTGTGACCACACCCCCCCAGGTGACCCCAGGTGTGCTCAGGTGTGTTCAGGTGATCCCAGGTGTGCTCAGTTGTGTCCAGGTCCTGCTCAGGTGTGCCCAGGTGTGCTCAGGTGTGCCCAGGTGTGCTCAGTTGTGTCCAGGTGTGCTCAGGTGTGCCCAGGTGTGCTCAGTTGTGTCCAGGTCCTGCTCAGGTGTGCCCAGGTGTGCTCGGGTGTGCCCAGGTGTGCTCAGGTGTGTTCAGGTGCGTCCAAGTAACCCTCAGGTGATCCCAGGTGTGCTCAGGTGACCTCAGATGTGTCCTGGCCCCCTTGGGTGAGCTCAGGTGACTCCAGGTCCCTCTCAGGTGTGCCCAGGTGTGCTCAGGTGTGCCCAGGTGTGCTCAGGTGACCTTCAGATGATTCCAGGTGACCCCAGGTGTGCCCAGGTTCCCCTCAGGTGCGCTCAGGTGTGCTCAGGTGATCTTAGATCCCCCTCAGGTGTGCCCACGTGTGCTCAGGTGACCCTCAGGTGATTCCAAGTGTGCCCAGGTATGTCCAGGTGAGCTCAGGTTCCCTTCAGGTAACCTCCAGGTGTGCCCAGGTGTTCTCAGGTGACCCTTGCTGACCCTCAGGTGACTCCAGGTGACCCCAGGTGACATTCAGGTGTGCCCAGGTGCGCTCAGGTGATCCCGGGTGTGCCCAGGTGTGCTCAGGTGTGCTCCTCTCCCCCCAGGTTGAACCAGGCCGTGTTCCAGCCCTCCCTGACTCACCTGTGCAACCACACCTGGCACAGGTGACCCTCAGGTGTGCCCAACCCTCCCAGGTCCCCCTCAGGTCTGCTCAGGTGTTCCTCAGGTGTGTCCAGGTGACCTTAGATCCCTCTCAGGTGACCTCCAGGTGATCCCAGGTGTGCTCAGGTGTGTCCAAGTAACTCTCAGGTGATCTCAGGTGTGCCCAGGTGTGCTCAGGTGACCCTTGCTGACCCTCAGGTGACCCCAGGTGACATCCAGGTGTGCTCAGGTGTGCCCAGGTGTGCTCAGATGACACCCAGGTGTGCTCAGGTGTGCTCAGGTGATCCCAGGTGTGCCCAGGTGTTTTCAGGTGATCTCAGGTGTGCCTGCGTGTGCCCAGGTGTGCTCAGGTGATCCCAGGTGTGCCCAGGTGTGCTCAGGTGTGCTCAGATGACATCCAGGTGTGCCCAGGTGTGCTCAGGTGATCCCAGGTGTGCCCAGGTGTGCTCAGGTGATCCCAGGTGTGCTCAGGTGTGCCCAGGTGTGCCCAGGTGTGCTCAGGTGATCCCAGGTGTGCTCAGGTGATCCCAGGTGTGCCCAGGTGTGCTCAGGTGATCTCAGGTGGGCTCAGATGACATCCAGGTGTGCCCAGGTGTGCCCAGGTGTTCTCAGGTGTTCTCAGGTGTGCTCAGGTGTTCTCAGGTGTGCTCAGGTGTGCTCCTCTCTCCCCCAGGTTGAACCAGGCCGTGTTCCAGCCGTCGCTGACTCACCTGTGCAACCACACCTGGCCGCGGGACGTTCACCTGGTCGGGGATTTCTCCTCGGCCGCGCGGTTCTTCGTGGGCGTGGCCGTGGGCGCCTTCCTGTACAGCCTGGGGGCGCTGGGGGTGTACCTGGGCTACCTGCACCTGTACAGGTGTGCGGGGTCACGGTTACCGCTCACGGTGAGTGTGAGTTACCTGTGCAGGTGTGAGTTACCTGTGCTGGGCTGTACCTGGGCTACCTGCACCTGTACAGGTGTGCGGGGTCACGGTTACCGCTCACGGTGAGTGTGAGTTACCTGTGCAGGTGTGAGTTACCTGTGCTGGGCTGTACCTGGGCTGCCTGCACCTGTACAGGTGTGCAGGGTCACGGTTACCGCTCACGGTGAGTGTGAGTTACCTGTGCAGGTGTGAGTTACCTGTGCTGGGCTGTACCTGGGCTGCCTGCACCTGTACAGGTGTGCGGGGTCACGGTTACCGCTCACGGTGAGTGTGAGTTACCTGTGCAGGTGTGAGTTACCTGTGCTGGGCTGTACCTGGGCTGCCTGCACCTGTACAGGTGTGCAGGGTCACGGTTACCGCTCACGGTGAGTGTGAGTTACCTGTGCAGGTGTGAGTTACCTGTGCTGGGCTGTACCTGGGCTACCTGCACCTGTACAGGTGTGCGGGGTCACGGTTACCGCTCACGGTGAGTGTGAGTTACCTGTGCAGGTGTGAGTTACCTGTGCTGGGCTGTACCTGGGCTGCCTGCACCTGTACAGGTGTGCGGGGTCACGGTTACCGCTCACGGTGAGTGTGAGTTACCTGTGCAGGTGTGATTTACCTGTGCTGGGCTGTACCTGGGCTGCCTGCACCTGTACAGGTGTGCGGGGTCACGGTTACCGCTCATGGTGAGTGACAGTTCACCTGTACAGGTGTGAGTTACCTGTGCTGGGCTGTACCTGGGCTGCCTGCACCTGTACAGGTGTGCGGGGTCACGGTTACCGCTCACGGTGAGTGTGAGTTACCTGTGCAGGTGTGAGTTACCTGTGCTGGGCTGTACCTGGGCTGCCTGCACCTGTACAGGTGTGCGGGGTCACGGCTACCGCTCACGGTGAGTGTGAGTTACCTGTGCAGGTGTGAGTTACCTGTGCTGGGCTGTACCTGGGCTGCCTGCACCTGTACAGGTGTGCGGGGTCACGGTTACCGCTCATGGTGAGTGACAGTTCACCTGTACAGGTGTGAGTTACCTGTGCTGGGCTGTACCTGGGCTGCCTGCACCTGTACAGGTGTGCGGGGTCACGGTTACCGCTCACGGTGAGTGTGAGTTACCTGTGCAGGTGTGAGTTACCTGTGCTGGGCTGTACCTGGGCTGCCTGCACCTGTACAGGTGTGCGGGGTCACGGTTACCGCTCATGGTGAGTGACAGTTCACCTGTACAGGTGTGAGTTACCTGTGCTGGGCTGTACCTGGGCTGCCTGCACCTGTACAGGTGTGCGGGGTCACGGTTACCGCTCACGGTGAGTGTGAGTTACCTGTGCAGGTGTGAGTTACCTGTGCTGGGCTGTACCTGGGCTGCCTGCACCTGTACAGGTGTGCGGGGTCACGGTTACCGCTCACGGTGAGTGTGAGTTACCTGTGCAGGTGTGAGTTACCTGTGCTGGGCTGTACCTGGGCTGCCTGCACCTGTACAGGTGTGCGGGGTCACGGTTACCGCTCACGGTGAGTGTGAGTTACCTGTGCAGGTGTGAGTTACCTGTGCTGGGCTGTACCTGGGCTGCCTGCACCTGTACAGGTGTGCGGGGTCACGGTTACCGCTCACGGTGAGTGTGAGTTACCTGTGCAGGTGTGATTTACCTGTGCTGGGCTGTACCTGGGCTGCCTGCACCTGTACAGGTGTGCGGGGTCACGGTTACCGCTCATGGTGAGTGACAGTTCACCTGTACAGGTGTGAGTTACCTGTGCTGGGCTGTACCTGGGCTGCCTGCACCTGTACAGGTGTGCGGGGTCACGGCTACCGCTCACGGTGAGTGTGAGTTACCTGTGCAGGTGTGAGTTACCTGTGCTGGGCTGTACCTGGGCTGCCTGCACCTGTACAGGTGTGCGGGGTCACGGCTACCGCTCACGGTGAGTGTGAGTTACCTGTGCAGGTGTGAGTTACCTGTACAGGTGTGTCAGGGTGTGAGTTACCTGTACAGGTGTGAGTTATCTGTACAGGTGTGTCAGGGTGCGATTTACCTGTACAGGTGTGAGGGGTCACGCATGCCCCTCATGGTGAGTGTGAATTACCTGTACAGGTGTGTCAGGGTGTGAGTTACCTGTACAGGTGTGAGTTACGTGTACAGGTGTGTCAGGGTGTGAGTTACCTGTACAGGTGTGAGTTACCTGTACAGGTGTGTCAGGGTGCGATTTACCTGTACAGGTGTGCGGGGTCACGCCTGCCCCTCATGGTGAGTGTGAATTACCTGTACAGGTGTGTCAGGGTGTGAGTTACCTGTACAGGTGTGAGTTACGTGTACAGGTGTGTCAGGGTGCAATTTACCTGTACGGGTGCGTCCGCATGCGATTTACCTGTACAGGAATTTTTTTAGGGAATTACGATGGAACTTTGACGTGAGTTTGGGGAACTTGTTTGGGATTTTTAGGAATTTTTATTAAGTTTAGGGAATGCTGAGAAAATTTTGGAGAATCTTGATGGAGTTTCAGCGGGATTTTGATGGAATTGGGGGACATTTTGATATAATTTTTAGGAATTTTGATGGAAATTGGGGAAATTTTGATGGAATTTTGAGCAGAATTCCCAAGTTTTGGTCCAAATTTTGGTGTTTCCGGGGGGATTTTGGGGTTCTGGGGCTGGAATTTTGGGAGGGTTTAACCCTTTGTGCTCCTTCTTTTTTTCTGCTGCCTCTGAAGGACCCCAGGTAAGTCAACCCCCAAAATTCCCTTTTTTTCTCTTAAAATTCCCTTTTTTTTTTTGTCTATTTTTGTGCCATTTCTTGTCCATTTTTTGGCAATTTTTTGTCCCATTTTTGGGCCAATTTTTATCCATTTTTGTGCCATTTTTTCTTCTATTTTTGTGTCGTTTTCCCCCCATTTTTGGGCTAATTTTTCTCTATTTTTGTGGCAATTTTGCTGTATTTTGGGGCCTTTTTTTCTGTATTTTGGGTTATTTTCTTTCCATTTTTGGGTCATTTTTTTCTGTATTTTGGGACATTTTTTCTCTATTTTTGGGTCATTTTCCCTTCATTTTTAGGTTCTTTCCCGCCGCTTTTGGGCCATTTTTCCTCCATTTTTAGGCCATTTTTTGGGCCATTTTCTCTCAATTTTTTTAGAATTTTTTAGAATTTTTTTCCATTTTTGCGTCATTTTTTCCCATTTTTTCCGCATTTTCCCCGTTTCCTGATTTTTTCTCCCCATTTTCCTCTCCAGTCCCTGCTGCTCTTGGCTCTTGTGGCCTCGCCCCTCCCCCACTGCCCCTCCCCCATTTCTGCTCCTTTTTTTCCCATTTTTTCACCGATTTTCCCCATTTTTTTTTCTTTTTTTCCCGTTTTTTCACAATATTTTTTATTTTTTCCCAATTCTTTAACATTTCTCCCCATTTCTCCCCCCAGGACCTGCTGCTCTCGGTGCTCTTGCTCTGGGCCTCCTGTGCCTGGGCCCCTCCCCCATTTGGGGTTCGTTCCCTCCCCATTTTTGGGTCATTTTCCCACCACTTTTGAGTCAATTTTTGTCCATTTTTGGGTCTTTGGGGTCATTTTGTTTCCATTTTTGGGGTCATTTTTCTCTCTATTTTTGGGCCAGTGTTTTGTTAATTTTTTGGCCATTTTTGTGCCATTTTTTCTCCAATTTTGGGCTATTTTTTCTCTCCATTTTTGTCTCTTTTTTTCCATTTTTGAGTCATTTTATTCTCGATTTTTGTGCCATTTTTTCTCTATTTTTGGGCAATTTTTTCTCCATTTCAGTGACATTTTTTAATCCATTTTTGGGTCATTTTCTCTCCATTTTTGAGTCATTTTTTTCTCCGTTTCTGTGCCATTTTTTCTCCATTTTGGACCATTTTCTTGCCTTTTTTTGGTCATTTTCCCACCATTTTTGGGCTATTTTTTTCCGCTTTCTGGGTCATTTTTGGGTCATTTTCCCCCATTTTCTTTCTCAATTTCTGTTCCCCTCCTCCACCCCCACTTCTGCCCCTCCCCCATTTCTGCTCCTTTTTCCGCCATTTTTTCTCCGTTTTTTCACTGATTTTCTCCGTTTTTTCACTGAATTTTCTCCATTTTTTCACTGATTTTCTCCATTTTTTTTGCATTCTTTCCCGGTTTTTCATGTTTTTTTAATTTTTTCCCATTTTCTCGGTTTTCTGCCCAGGACCTGCTGCTGTCGGGGCTGCTCTCGGTGCTCTGGCTCTGCGCCTCCTGTGCCTGGCCCAGGGCCTCGGCCACGTCCGCGGGGCGGCGACCGCGCCCCTCCCCCACTGCCCCGCCCCCGGCGGTGACGTCACCTGCGCGCGCACGGCGGCCACGCCCATGGGGGGCTGGGGCGTCCGTGGTGAGAAACAATGGGGAAACTGAGGCACAAAGGGGGCGGGGCCACGCTCATGGGGGGGCTGGGCGCGTCCGTGGTGAGAGAAATGGGGGGAAACTGAGGCACAGAGGGGGCGGGGCCACGCTCATGGGGGGCTGGGGGCATCCGTGGTGAGAAACCAGGGGGGAAACTGAGGCACAGAGAGGGCGGGGCCAAGCCATGCCCATGGGGGTAAACTGAGGCACAGAGGGGGTGGGGCCATGGCTGTGGGGGGGAAACTGAGGCACAGAGGGGGGCGGGGCTGGGGGGCGCGGCCACGCCCATGGGGGAAACTGAGGCACAGAGGGGGCGGGTGTGGGGACGGAGCTATGGCCATGGGGGAAACTGAGGCACAAAGGGGGCGGGGCCACGGCCGTGGGGGGGAAACTGAGGCACAATGGGGAAACCGACGCACAATGGGGGAAACTGAGGCACAGAGGGTGCGGGGCCACGGCCATGGGGGAAACTGAGGCACAGAGAGGGCAGGGCCACGGCCGTGCTGGGGAAACTGAGGCACAGAGGGGGTAGGGCAAGGGGTGGGGCATGGCCATGGGGGGGAAACTGAGGCACAGAGGGGGCGGGGCCACGGCCCTGGGGGAAATTGAGGCATGATTGGGGAAACTGAGGCATAATATGGAAAATGAGGCACGATGGGGAAACTGAGGCACGGGGAGGGAAAGGGGATTCGGCCATTTTGGGCAACACCGAGACCCCGTTGGGGGCGGGGCTTGGATGGAGACACCGACTGGGGGGAGGGGCTTATGGAGATGGGGGTGGGCTTATGGAGAAGGGGGCGGGGCTTGTAACCCTGGCCCCACCCCCACCCCCCGCGTCTCTTGCAGGCCTTCGGGTTCCTCAACCTCCTGCTCTGGGCCGGCGGCTCCTGGTTCGTCTACAAGGAGACCCCTCTGCACCGCCCGGCCCCGCCCCCCGAGCCGAGCCCCGCCCCCATGTGACCCCGCCCCTCCCCCACTCTTTTGTAGCTGTGCCAAGTTTGGGGGCGGGGCTAAAAAATGGGGGGTGGGGCCGGGAGCGGGGGGAGGGGCTTTGTGCAGTGAGCTGGGGTGGGGGGGAGGGGTGGGGGGGGTGACGTTGACCTTGGTGGGGTTTGGGTTGACCTTTGGGTGACCTCACTTGACCTTGGGTGGGCGTGGCCTTGACCTTGGGTTGGTCTCGGCCATGGGTTGGTTGGTCTTGACTTTGGGTTGGTTGGTGTTGATCTTGGGTTGATCTTGACTTTGGTCATGGGTTGGTCTTGACTTTGGGTTGATCTTCGGTTGGTCTTGACCTTGGTTTGGTTTACACCACGACTTGTCTTGACTTTGGGTTGATTTTGGCCGTGGGTTGGTCTTGACTTTGGGTTGGTCTTGACTTTAGGTTGGTCCTTCACCATGAGTTGGTCTTGACCTTGGGTTGGTCTCGATGTTGAGTTGGCCTTGGGTTAGTCCTGACTTTAGTTTGGTCTTGACCTTAGGTTGGTTTTGACTTTGGGTTGGTCTTGATGTTGAGTTGCTTGATGTTGACAGGAGTAGGTCTTGACTTTGGCCATGGGTTGGTCTTGACCTTGGGTTGGTCTGAACTTTGACATTGTCTTGACCGTTGGTTGGCCTTGACTTTGAGTTGACCTTGGATTGGTCTTCACCATGAGTTGGTCTTGACCTTGGGTTGGTTTTGGCCGTGGGTTGGTCTCGACTTCGGGTTGGTCTCGACTTCGGGTTGGTCTTGACCTTGGGTTGGTTTTTGGATTGGTCTCAACTTTGGGTTGGTCTTAACCTTGGGTTGATCTTGGCCATGGGTTGGTCTTGACCTTGGTTTGGTCTCGGTCATGGGTTGGTCGTTGGTTGGTCTTGGCCATGGGTGTATCTTGACACTGGGTTGGTGTTCAGTTTGAGTTGGTCTTGACTTTGGGTTGGTGTTGACCATGGGTTTGGCGTTGACTATGGGTTGGTCTTGGCGATTGGTTGGACTTGACTTTGGTTTGGTTTCGGCTTTGCGTTGGTCTTGGTCATGGGCTTGTGGATCTTGACTTTGAGTTGGTTGGTCTTGACCTTGGGTTTGGTCTTGACTTTGGGTTGGTCTTGACCTTGGGTTGGTTTTTAGGTTGTTTGGCCTTGAATTGATCTTGGCCATGGGTCAATCTTGACTGTAGGTTGGTCTTTGGGCTGGTCTTGATTTCCGGTTGGCTTTGGCCTTGGGTTGGCGTTGACCGTTTGTTGGTCTTGGCCATGGCTTGGCTGCTCTTCCCCTCACTGACCATTGGCCGGGTTTGGGTTGACCTTGGGCCGACCTTGACCTCGGTTTGGGTTGGTCTCACCTTCACCTTGGCCTTGCCCATGGGATGATTGATCTCGACTTCATCGACCATGGCTTGGCCTTCAGTTCCCCATTGGGAGACTTTGACCTCAACTTGACCTTGGGTTGGGTTGGTCTTGGGTCGGTGTTGACCAATGGTTGGTTGACCTTGACCTCACTGACCATTGGTTGGTTGAGCTTGACCATTGGATGCCGTTGGGTTGACCACTGGGTGACTTTGGCCTCTGCTGACCTTGGCTTGAGTTGGTGCTGACCATCGGTTGGTTGACCTTGACTTTGATGACCGTTGGTTGGTCATGGGTTGATCTTTGGGTGATTCTTGACCTCACTGACCATTGGTTGGCCTTGACTTGGCCATTGGTCAGTCTTGGCTTGACCATTGGTCAGTGTTGAGATCACCGTTGGGTTGGTCTTGGTGTAGAGCTGACCACTGGGTTGGTCCTGATCTTGAACTGACCGTTGGGTTGGTCTTGATGTCATTAATGGTTAATTGGGCTGACCACTGGGGTGGTCTTGACTTGCGATGACCATTGGGGTTGGTCTTGATCTTGAGATGACCATTGGGTTGGTCTTGAGATGACCATTGGGTTGGTTTTGCATTGACCATGGGGTTGGTCTTGCGTTGACCATTGGATTGGTCTTGACATTGACCATCGGTTGTCCGATCTTGACTCGCGTTGGTCGTTGGGTTGGTTTGGGCTTTGCTGACCATTGGTTGGGTTGACCAAGGGTTGGGTTGACCTTGAGTTGATTTTGGGTTGGGTTGATCTTGGCTGACTTTGGGTTGGTCGATCTTGGCTTGAATTGGATTGGGCTGGGTTGACTTTGAGTTGGGTTGGGTTGATCTGGGGTTGGGTTGGGTTGGGTTGACCTTGGTTGGGTTGGGTTGACCTCGGTTGGGTTGGATTGACCTTGTTTGGGTTGACCTTGAGTTTGATTGGGTTGGGTTGACTTTGAGTTGGGTCGGGTTGACCTTGGGTTAGGTTGGGTTTGTTTGGTTGATCTTGGCTTGAATTGGATTTGGTTTGGTTGGCTTTAAGTTGGGTTGGGTTGACCTTGATGGATGTTGGGTTGGGTTGAGTTGACTTTGAGTTTAGTTGAGTTAGGTGGGGTTGGTTGATCTCTAGGTTGGGTTGGGTTGACTTTGGATTGGGTTGGGTTGACCTTAGCTGACCTTGAGTAGATCTTGGCTTGAGTTGGGTTGGGTTGATTTTGAGTTGAGTTGGGTTGGGTTGGGTTGACCTTGGATCGGGTTGGGTTGGGTTTGGTTGACGTTGGGTTGGGTTGACCTTGGTGGACCTTGAGTTGATCTTGGCTTGAGGTTGGTTGGGTTGACTTTGAGTTGGGTTGGGTTGTGTTTGGTTGACCTTGGGTTGGGTTTGGTTGATCTTGGGTTTGGTGGACCTTTGGTTGGGTTGGGTTGGTTTGAGTTGGGTTGGGTCGACTTTGAGTAGAGTTGGGTTGGGTTTGGTTGACTTTGAGTTGGGTTGGGTGGACCTTGGATGACCTTTGGTTGGGTTTGGTTGACTTTGAGTTGAATTTGGTTGACCTTGGCTTGAATTTGATTGGGTTGGGTTTGGTTGACTTTGGTTGACCTTGACTTGGGTTGAGTTGTGTTGGGTTGATCTTAGGTTGGGTTTGGTTGACCTTGACTTGGATTGGGTTGACCTTAGGTTGGGTTTGGTTGGGTTGGGTTTGGTTGGGTTTGGTTGATGTTGGGTTGGGTTTGGTTGACGTTGGGTTGAGCTTGGTTGGGTTTGGTTGACCTTGACTTGGATTGGGTTGACCTTAGGTTGGGTTTGGTTGGGTTGGGTTGGGTTTGGTTGATGTTGAGTTGGGTTGGGTTGATCTTGGCTTGGATTGGGTTTGGTTGACATTGAGTTGACCTTGGTTGACGTTAGGTTGGGTTTCGTTGACTTTGGGTTGAGTTGGGTTGACCTTGGTTGGGTTGGGTTGACCTTGGTTGATGTTGGGTTGGGTTTGGTTGACATTGGGTTGGGTTTGGTTGGTGTTGGGTTGGGTTTGGTTGGCGTTGGGTTGGGTTGGGTTAATCTTGGTTGAGTTGGGTTGACTTTGGGTTGGGTTGGGTTGACTTTGGTTGACTTTGGTTGACGTTGGGTTGGGTTTCGTTGGGTTGATTTTCTCTGACCTTCGCTTGACCCCGCTCGGGATCCGCGGCCCCTCATTGGCCCCACCCCCTGTGCCCTCCTCCCATTGGCTCCTCCCCCTTGGTGGGCGTGGCCAAACACTCCGGGCTCCCCTCCCCCTCCCCTCCGCAAGTGCCTCAATAAACGAAATTCTGGGAAATGGGCCCCAAAATCGCCCCAAAATCGCCTTAAAATGGCCCCAAAATGGCCCTTGGGGACATCGGGGGGGGATTGGGGACACCAGGGACGGAGCCGAGGCCGCGTTTGCCCCAAATTTATTGGTTCTGACCCCAAATCCGCGTCCCCTCCGTCACCGCCCGCGGGTGGCACCGGGGTGGCCCTGGTGGCACCAAGGTGGCACCAAGGTGGCCCTGATGGCACTGAGATGGCCATGGTGGCACCAAGGTGGCCCTGGTGGCACCAGGGTGACCCAAATGTGTCCCGGGTCCCATCACCGTGTCCCTTGTCCCACCCTGTGGTGGCCCAGCTCCCATGTGCCCACAATGTCCCCAGAGTGTCCCCGTGCCACCACCGCGTCCCCAAGGTGTCCCCAAGGTGTGCCCAAGGTGTCAGCTCCTCTCCATGGTCTCCACGATCCATGGTGTGAACCTGCAGACCTTGGTGTGACCCATGTCCATGTCCCCACATTATCCCCGTGTCCCAAGGCTGTCCCCACGATATCTCCATGATGTCCCCATGTCCCCAAGGTGTCCCCAAGGTGTCCCCAGGGTGTCAGTTCCTCTCCATGGTCTCCACGATCCATGGTGTGCCTGCAGACCTTGGTGTGACCCATGTCCATGTCCCCATGATATCTCCACGTTATCCCCATGATGTCACCGTGTCCCCCATGATGTCCCCATGTCCCCAAGGTGTCCCCAAGGTGTCCCCAGGTCAGTTCCTCTCCATGGTCTCCACAATCCATGGTGTGAACCTGCAGACCTTGGTGTAGACGCCGGGGTGGCCGGGCAGGGCGCAGGTCTGCAGCCCCCAGGACACGACGCCCTGCAGGGTCCCATTGCAGGACAGGGGACCCCCGGAGTCACCCTGGGGACACGCCGGGGTCAAAGGTCACGCTGGGGTCACTCGGGGTCATTTGGGGGATTGTTTGGGGATTTTTGGGGATTTTTTGGGGATTTTGGGGTTTTTTTATTTTAATTTTTGGGGATTTGGGGGCTTGTGGTCACTCAAGGGTCGTTCAGGGATCACTCGGGGGTCAGAGGGTGGATTTTGGGCAGATTTTGGTCATATTTGGGGCGGATTTGGGGTGGATTTGGGCTGGATTTGGGCTGGATTTGGGGCAGATTTTGGGCAGCTATGGGGTGTATGTGGGGCAGATTTGGGGTGGATTTGGGCTGGATTTGGGGCACATTTAGGGTGTGTTTGGGGCGTATTTGGGGCACATTTTGGGCAGCTTTGGGGTGTATTTGGGGTGTATTTGGGGCAGATTTGGGATGTATTTGGGGTGTATTTGAGGTGTATTTGGGGTGTATTTTGGGCGGATTTGGGGCACATTTTGGGTGTATTTGGGGTGTATTTGGGGCAGATTTAGGGTGTATTTTGGGCACATTTTGGGAAGCTTTGTGGTGTATTTGGGGCAGATTTGGGGTGTATTTGAGGTGTATTTGGGGTGTGTTTGGGGCAGATTTTGGGCAGCTTTGGGGTGTATTTGGGGTGTATTTTGGGCACATTTTGGGTGTATTTGGGGTGTATTTAGGCCAGATTTGGGGTGTATTTTGGGCACATTTTAGGTGTATTTGGGGTGTATTTTGGGCACATTTTGGGTGTATTTGGGGGCATATTCGGGGTGTATTTTGGGCACATTTTGGGTGTGTTTGGGGCATATTCGGGGTGTATTTTGGGCACATTTTGGGCAGCTTTGGGGCGTATTTTGGGTGTATTTAGGCCAGCTTTGGGGTGTATTTTGGGCACATTTGGGGTGTATTTGGGGTGTATTTTGGGCACATTTTGGGCAGCTTTGGGGTGTATTTTGGGTGTATTTAGGCCAGCTTTGGGGTGTATTTTGGGCACATTTTGGGTGTGTTTGGGGTGTGTTTGCACCGACCTGGCAGGAGTCGACGCGGCGGTTGCTGACGCCGGCGCAGAGCATGCTGGGCGTGATGCGCCGCGGGTACGCCCGGCGGCAGGCGGCGTCCGACAGCAGCTGCACGTAGGCGCACATCAGCCGCTCCGGGAGCGTCACTGCGGGGTACTCACGGGTTACTCACGGGTTACTCACGGGTTACTCACGGGTTACTCACTGGTTACTCATGGGGTTAGTCATGGGGTTAGGGGTTACTCGGGGATCAGCCGCTCCAGGAGCGTCACTGTGGGGGTAGTCACAGGTTACTCACGGGTTACTCACACGTTAATCACGGGTTACTTGGGTTACTCACAGGTTACTCATGGGGTTAGTCAGGGGGTTAGTCATAGGTTACTTGGGGATCAGCCGCTCCGGGAGCGTCACTGCGGGGATACTCACAGGTTACTCACTGGTTACTCACTGGTTACTCGAGTTACTCACAGGTTACTCATGGGGTTAGTCATGGGGTTAGTCAGGGGTTACTCGGGGCTCAGCCGCTCCAGGAGCGTCACTGCGGGGGTACTCACAGTTTACTCACAGGTTACTCACTGGTTACTCACAGGTTAGTCATGGGGTTACTCAGGGGTTACTCGGGGATCAGCCGCTCCAGGAGCGTCACTGCGGGGATACTCAGGGGTTACTCACGGGTTACTCATAGGTTACTCGCAGGTTATTAATGGGGCTAATCAGGGGGTTAGTCAGGGGTTACTCGGGGATCAGCCGCTCCGGGAGCGTCACTGCGGGGATACTCAGGGGTTACTTACGGGTTACTCATAGGTTACTCACAGGTTAGTCATGGGGTTAGTCAGGGGTTACTCGGGGATCAGCCACTCCGGGAGCGTCACTGCGGGGATACTCAGGGGTTACTCATGGGTTACTCACAGGTTACTCAGGGGTTACTCAGGGGGTTACTCATGGGTTAGTCATTATCAGTTAGTCAGATTCCTCCAATTTCACCCCAAATCAATGTCACACATTGTCACACGTGGTGTCACTGACCCTGCGGAGTGGTGACGGTGCCCCAGCCGGACAGCAGGCAGGACTGCCCGGGCTGGCCGCACTCTCGGGGCAGCGGCAGCGGCCGCACGCTCCGGCCGATGGTGACCCCAGATTCCCTCAAATTCACCCCAAATCAGTGTCACTGACCCTGTGGAGTGGTGACGGTCCCCCAGCCGGACAGCAGGCAGGACTGCCCGGGCCGGCCGCACTCTCGGGGCAGCGGCAGCGGCCGCACGCTCCGGCCGATGGTGACCCCACATTCCCCCCAAATTCACCCCAAATCAATGTCACACATTGTCACACGTGGTGTCACTGACCCTGCGGAGTGGTGACGGTGCCCCAGCCGGACAGCAGGCAGGACTGCCCGGGCCGGCTGCACTCTCGGGGCAGCGGCAGCGGCCGCACGCTCCGGCCGATGGTGACCCCAAATTCCCTCAAATTCACCCCAAATCAGTGTCACTGACCCTGTGGAGTGGTGACGGTGCCCCAGCCGGACAGCAGGCAGGACTGCCCGGGCTGGCCGCACTCTCGGGGCAGCGGCAGCGGCCGCACGCTCCGGCCGATGGTGACCCCACATTCCCCCAATTTCACCCCAATTTTTCTCCCAGTTTCACCCCAAATTCCCCCAATTTCACCCCAAATCAGTGTCACTGACCCTGCGGAGTGGTGACGGTGCCCCAGCCGGACAGCAGGCAGGACTGCCCGGGCCGGCCGCACTCTCGGGGCAGCGGCAGCGGCCGCACGCTCCGGCCGATGGTGACCCCAGGGAGCCCCAAATTCCCCCAAATTCACCCCAAATCAATGTCACACATTGTCACACGTGGTGTCACTGACCCTGCGGAGTGGTGACGGTCCCCCAGCCGGACAGCAGGCAGGACTGCCCGGGCTGGCCGCAGGCCCGGGGCAGGGGCAGCGGCCGCACGCTCCGGCCGATGGTGACCCCAGGGAGCCCCAAATTCCCCAGTTTCACCCCAATTTTTCTCCCAGTTTCACCCCAAATTCCCCCAATTTCACCCCAAATCAGTGTCACTGACCCTGCGGAGTGGTGACGGTGCCCCAGCCGGACAGCAGGCAGGACTGCCCGGGCTGGCCGCAGGCCCGGGGCAGCGGCAGCGGCCGCACGCTCCGGCCGATGGCCGCCGGCCGGTCCAGCCGCAGCAGGGCCAGGTCCGAGTCCAGCGAGACGGGGTCGAAGCGGGGGTGGGGCAGCGCCAGCGTCACCCGGCGCTCCTGCTCCGTCCCCTCGCGCCGCCGCAGGTCGTCCTCGCCCAGCCGGACGCGCAGGCCCCTGGGGACATTGGGGACAGCGAGGGGACGGCGGGAAAATTGGGGAGAATTGGGGATAATCGGGGGAAACGGGATTTGGGGACATGGGGGACATTGCAGGGGTTGGGGACATTGGGGACGTTGGGGATATCGGGGACATTGGGATATTGGGGACTTTGGGGGGACATTGGGGACATTGAGGGGGATCGGGGACATTGGGGATTTGGGACATCGGGGACATCGGTGCTGTTGTGATCCTCGGGGGGACCTTGGGGACATTGGCATACGGTGGCATCGGGGATGCTGGGGACACGGGGGATGGGGACATTAGGGAGTCAAACGGTGTCACCACGGGCTGTCCCCCGTCCCTGTCATTGTCCCCAGGGTGTGTCCCCGTGTCACTGTGGGATGTCCCCAGGGATGTCCCCAGTGTCACCTCCTGACACAGTGTGGCACCATCAGCACCCACTGGGGCCGCAGTTGTCCCTGTCACTGTCACTGTCAGCTGTCCCCTGTCCCTGCCACTGTGCCCGTGGTGTGTCCCCTGTCCCCTGTCACTGTCCCCAGTGTCCCCAGCGTCACCTCCTGACGCAGTGTGCCGCCATCAGCACCCACAGCGGTGCCACCAGGACACTCCCACAGCCGTCACTGTCACTGTGAGCTGTCCCCTGTCACTGTCACTGTCCCCAGGGTATATCCCCCATCCCCAAGGGATGTCATTGTCCCCAGGGATGTCCCCAATGTCCCCAGTGTCACCTCCTGACGCAGCGTGCCGCCGTCAGCACCCACGCCGGTGCCACCAGCACGCCCCGGAGCGCAGGGGCCATAGAGCACTGTCACTGTCCCTGTCACTGTCACTGTCACTGTGACCTGCCCCTGTCCCCAAGGGCTGTCCCCAGTCACTGTGAGGTGTCCCAAGGGATGTCCCCAATGTCCCCAGTGTCAGCTCCTGACGCAGTGTGCCGCCGTCGGCACCCACAGTGGTGCCACCAGCGCCCCCCCACAGCTGTCACTGTCCCCAAGGGCTGTCCCTGGGCACTATGGGATGTCCCCAATGTCCCCAATGTCCCCAGTGTCACCTCCTGACGCAGTGTGCCGCCGTCAGCACCCACATCGGTGCCACCAGCGCCCCCCCACACCGCAATGGGCCATAGAGCACTGTCACTGTCACTGTCCCCATGGTGTGTCCCATGTCCCCAAGGTGTGTCACTGTCACCTCCTGACGCAGTGTGCCGCCGTCAGCACCCACATCGGTGCCACCAGCGCCCCCACACCGCAATGGGCCATAGAGCACTGTCACTGTCACTGTCCCCAATGTCACTGTCCCCATGGTGTGTCCCATGTCCCCAAGGTGTGTCACTGTCACCTCCTGACGCAGTGTGCCGCCGTCAGCACCCACATCGGTGCCACCAGCACCCCCCTGCAGCGCAGGGGCCATAGAGCACTGTCACTGTCACTGTCACTGTCACTGTCCCCAGGGTGTGTCCCCCATCCCCAGGGTGTGTCCCATGTCCCCAATGTCCCCAGTGTCACCTCCTGACGCAGTGTGCCGCCGTCAGCACCCACATCGGTGCCACCAGCACGCCCCCACACCGCAATGGGCCGTAGACCAGCGCCTGCCAGGGCTGGGACAGGGGCACGCACGGGTACCCCCCCGATGATCCGGTCCTCGTCACCGTCCGGGGACAGCGGCACGCAGGCGCCACCCGCGGCGTCACCCTCGGCGCGCTGGCCCTGGGGACACGGCGGCGGCTGGCACACGGTGGCACCTGCGGGGACAAAGGGACACAAAGGGACAGTGAGGGCACACGGTGGCACCTGCGGGGACAAAGGGACACAGAGGGACAGTGTGGGCACACGGTGGCACCTGTGGGGGACAAAGGGACACAAAGGGACAGTGAGGGCACACGGTGGCACCTGCGGGGACAAAGGGACACAGAGGGACAGTGAAGGGACACAGAGGGACAGTGTGGGCACACGGTGGCACCTGCGGGGACAAAGGGACACAAAGGGACAGTGAGGGACAAAGGGACAATGAGGGGACAATGGTGGCTGGCACACGGTGGCACCTGTGGGGACAAAGGGACACAAAGGGACAGTGTGGGCACACGGTGGCACCTGCGGGGACAAAGGGACACAAAGGGACAGTGAGGGCACACGGTGGCACCTGTGGGGACAAAGGGACAGTGAGGGCACTCGGTGGCACCTGCGGGGACAAAGGGACAATGAGGGACAAAGGGACACAAAGGGACACAAAGGGACAGTGAGGGCACACGGTGGCACCTGCGGGGGCAAAGGGACATGAAGGGACAATGTGGGGACACAGTGGGGACACGATGGCACCTGCAGGGACCAAGGGACAATGAGGGGACAAAGGGACCATGAGGGGACAATGTGGGGACACTGCAGCGGCTGGGACACGGTGGCACCTGTGGGGACAAAGGGACAATGAGGGACAAAGGGACAGTGTGGGGACAATGGCGGTGGCTGGCACGCAGGTGGCACCTGCGGGGACAAAAGGACCATGAGGGGACAATGTGGGGACACTGCAGCGGCTGGGACACCGTGGCACCTGCAGGGACAAAGGGACAATGAGGGACAAAGGGACAATGTGGGGACAATGGAGGTGGTTGGCACACGGTGGCACCCGCGGGGACAAAGGGACAATGGGGGTGGTGGCTTTGTGGGGGTGGTGGCAGCAGGAGTTGTGCCTGATTGTCACCTGGGCCACCAGGGGTGGCACCCTCATGGGGACAGCAGGTGTGGCACCTTTATGGGGACAGTGCCACCAGGAGTGGCACCTGAACCACGGGGACAGTGCCACCAGGAATGTCACCTCGTGGGGACAGCAGGTGTGGCACCTTTATGGGAACACGTGTGTCACCTCCATGGGGACATGGGGACACGTGTGTCACCTCCATGGGGACAGCAGGTGTGGCACCTCCATGGGGACACGTGTCACCTCCATGGGGACAGCAGGACTGGCACCTTCACGGGGACATGAGGACACGCGTGTCACTTCACGGGGACAGCAGGTGTGGCACCTCCATGGGGACAGTGCCACCAGGAGTGGCACCTGAGCCACCAGGTGTGGCACCTTCACGGGGACATAGGGACACGTGTGTCACCTCCATGGGGACAGTGCCACCACCCGGATTATCCGCTGGGCCACCAGGTGTGGCACCTTCACGGGGACATGGGGACACGTGTGTCACCTCCATGGGGACAATTCCACCCGGAGTGTCACTTCGGCCACCAAGTGTCACCAGACGTGGCATCTTCATGGGCACAGTGCCACCAGGAGTGTCACCTGGGCCACCAGCCGGGTGTGGCACCTTTATGGGGACAAGAGTGTCACCTCACGGGGACAGCAGGTGCGGCACCTGCACGGGGACAGTGCCACCAGGATTGTCCCCTGGGCCACCCGGTGTGACACTTCCATGGGGACAACAGGGGTGGCACCTCCATGGGGACATGGGGGACACGCGTGTCACCTCCATGGGGACAGCAGGAGTGGCACCTCCATGGGGACAGTGCCACCCAGAGTGTCACCTCCATGGGGACATGGGGACACGTGTGTCACCTCCATGGGGACAGTGCCACCCAGAGTGTCACCTCCATGGGGACATGGGGACACGTGTGTCACCTCCATGGGGACAGTGCCACCCAGAGTGTCACCTCCATGGGGACATGGGGACACGTGTGTCACCTCCATGGGGACAGTGCCACCCAGAGTGTCCCCTGGGCCACCTGGATTGTCCCCTGGGCCACCCGTGGTGGCGCCTTCACAGAGACATGAGGACAAGTGTGTCACTTCATGGGGACACGTGTGGCACCTCCATGGGGACAGTGCCACCAGGATTGTCACCTGGGCCACCAGGTGTGGCGCCTCGGTGGGGACACGTGTGTCACCTCGCGGGGACAGCAGGACCGGCACCTTCCCCGGGCCACCAGGTGTGACAAATCTGTGGGGACAGCAGGTGTGTCACCTTTATGGGGACAGTGCCACCGGGAGTGCCACCTCCTTGGGGACAGCAGGTGTGTCACCTTTATGGGGACAGTGCCACCGGGAGTGCCACCTCCTTGGGGACAGCAGGTGTGGCACCTCCATGGGGACAGTGCCACCAGGATTGTCACCTGGGCCACCAGGTGTGGCCAATTTATGGGGACAGCAGGAGTGGCACCTCCATGGGGACAAGGGGACACGTGTGGCACCTCCATGGGGACACCAGGCGTGTCCCTTGGGCCACCGGGGGTGGGGACAATGCCACCAGGAGCGTCCACAGGTGTCCCCAGGTGTCCCCAGATTGACTCCAAATGTCCCCAAAATGTCCCCAGAATGTCCCCAAATGTCCCCAAACATTGACAAAATGTCCCCAAAATGTCCCCAGAATGACACCAAATGTCCCCCAACATTCACAAAATGTCCTCAGGTGTCCCCAAATTGACTCTAAATTGACTCCAAAGTCCCCAAAATGTCCCTGAATATCCCTAAAATGACATCAAATGTCCCCAAACGTTCACAAAATGTCCCCAGGTGTCCGCAAAATGTCCCCAAATTGACTCCAAATGTCCCCAAAATGTCCTTGAACGCCCCCAAAATGTCCCTGAATATCCCCAAAATGACACCAAATGTCCCCAAACATTCACAAAATGTCCCCAGGTGTCCCCAGGTGTCCCCAAATTGACTCCAAAGTCCCCAAAATATCCCCAAAATGTCCCCAAAATGTCCCCAAATTGACTCTAAATTGACTCCAAAGTCCCCAAAATGTCCCCAAACATTCACAAAATGTCCCCCAGCTGTCACCAGCTGTCCCCAGGTGTCCCCAAATTGACTCCAAAGTCCCCAAAACGTCCCCAAACTATGCCAAAAATGTCCCCAAATTGACTCCAAATGTCCCCAAACATTCACAAAATGTCCCCAGGTGTCCCCAAAATGTCCCCACATTGACTCTAAATTGACTCCAAAGTCCCCCCCAAATGTCCCCAAAATGTCCCCAAACATGCACAAAATGTCCCCAGGTGTCCCCAAATGTCCCCAAAATGTCCCCAAATTGACTCCAAATTGACTCCAAAGTCCCCCCCAAATGTCCCCAAAATGTCCCCAAACATGCACAAAATGTCCCCAGGTGTCCCCCAATGTCCCCAAAATGTCCCCAAATTGACTCCAAATTGACTCCAAAGTCCCCCAAATGTCCCCAAAATGTCCCCAAACATGCACAAAATGTCCCCAGGTGTCCCCAAATGTCCCCAAAATGTCCCCAAATTGACTCCAAATTGACTCCAAAGTCCCCCAAATGTCCCCAAAATGTCCCCAGGTGTCCCCAGGTGTCCCCAGGTACCTGAGAGCAGCAGCAGCAGCAGCAGCAGCGGCTCCACGGCCCTGAGGGGACACGGAGGGGACACGGTGACCCGGCTGCCCCTCCCCCACGGCCTGGCCCCTCCCCCTCCTTTTTTTTCCCCCATTTTCCCGCAATTTTTCCCCAATTCCCCCCCATTTTCCCATTCCCCCCCATTCCCTCATATTCCCCGTTTCCCCACATTTCCCATTTCCCCCATATTTCCCCCCATATTTCCCCCTAATTCTTCCATTTCCATTTCCCATTTCCCCATTATTTCCCCCATTTTCGTTCCCCATATTTCTCCCACATTTCCCCCCATTTCCATCCCCCATTTCCCTCCGATTCCCCCATTCCCCCCCATATTTCCATTTCCCCCACCCCCCATTTCCCACCCATATTTCCCCCCATATTTCCCCCCAATTTCCCCCACATTCCCCCCAATTCCCCCCATATTTCCCATTTCCCCCACTCCTCATTTCCCCCATATTTCCCCCACATTTCCCACATTTCCATGTCCCACATTTCCCCCACATTTCCCCCACATTTCCCATTCCCCCACTCTTCATTTCCCCCATTTCCATTTCCCACATTTCCCCCACATTTCCCCCATTTCCATTCCCCCCCATATTTCCCCCATATTTCCATTCCCCATTTCCCCCCACATTTCCCCCATTTCCATTCCTCACATTTCTCATTTCCATCCCCCATATTCCCCCCATACTCCTACCATGCCCCCCCACATTTCCCCCATATTTCCCCCATATTTCCATTTCCCCCACCCCCCATTTCCCACCCATATTTCCCCCATATTTCCCCCATTTCCATTCCCCATATTTCCCCATATTTCCCCCATTTCCATTCCCCCGTATTTCCCCCCATATTTCCCCCATTTCCATCCCCCAATTTCCCATTTCCCCCCATATTTCCCCCATTTCCCATTCCCCATTTCCTGTTCCCCCCATTTCCAGTCCCCATGTTTCCCCCATATCCGTGCCCTATATTTTCCCCATTTTCATTCCCCATTCCCCCCATATTTCCATTTCACATTTCCCCCATATTTCCCCCATTTCCATTTCCATTTCCCCCATTTCCATTCCCCATTTCCCCCCCATATCCCCCCCATATTTCCATTTCCATTTCCCCCCATTTCCATTCCCCATTCCCCCCCCATTTCCCCCCTATTTTCCCCATTTCATTCTCCATATTTCCCCCATATTTCCTCCATTTCCATTCCCCCATATTTCCCCCAATTTCTTCCATATTTCCCCCCCACATTTCCCCCATTTCCATTTCCCATATTCCCCCCATATTTTCCCCATTTCCATCCCCCATTTCCCCCCATATTTCCCCCATATTTCCCCCATTTC